CCCACCTCCTCTCCCCCCTCCCCTCTCCCCCCACACCCCCACTGCCCTCCCATCCCCCCATTCACTGCCCCATCCATCCCCCTCCACTGTGTGCCCCCCCATCTCCCTGCCCCCTCTGTTCCCTGCCCCCCATCCCCCCCCACTTGGGGAAGGCAGGGGCGGTGGAGCGGGCTGGGCCCAGCCCCACATCTGCTTCACATCAGGAATTCCAGGGCCATTGAGTAAGGAGCTCGGGGAGCTGCCTCCGCCCGCGTGCAGGGGCTGCCACTTCCCCTGGCCCCCGCCCAGCCTCTGCTGCCTGACCCTGGGCGGACGTTGCTCCAGCCCAGACGACCGAACCCCCAGGAGCCCCCGCGGGTCTCAGCTCCCTGCGCCTGGGCTCTGGCTCTGTTAAGCCCCTTTGGTTCCACGCCCGTCCCAGGCCTGCATGACACAAGTTTGGAAGGCCTCAGCCCCCATCCCCCTCTGCCCGGCAGCCGGGGTCACCCGTGCCCCCGGCCAGCAGGAAGGGTCTGACGGGCTGTGGGGGGTGGGCCCCTCAGGCCTGGCTGCCTTGCCCTGGTCACGCCAGGCTTGCCAGGTAGATGCTCCGGGGGTAACGGGCAGTCCCTGTCTCTGCAGGACATCATCCTGAAGCGAGCAGCAGACATCGCCGAGGCCCTGTACAGCGTCCCGCGCACCCCCAGCCAGCTGTCCTCGTTGGCCGGGAACCACGCCCACGCGGGCATGATGGGCGTCAACTCCTTCGGGAGCCAGCTGGCCATCAACATCAGCGACTCGGGCCCGGGCACCGAGCAAGGTGTGTGTGGGTGGGGGGGGGGCAGCGCTCCCCCTGCGGCAAAGCCCCAAGCCGCGGGGCCCCAGTGCTGTGAGTGCCAGGGCAGGGGGCGGGGCAGGGCAGGCCAGGCAGGTCGGTACCCTCCAAGCGAAGATGTGGAGCAGGCGAATCAGCTTCCTGGGGCATGCGAGCGCCCAGGGGAGAGAGGAGTCTGGCAGACTGGGGCACCGTGCCGGCAGAGGAGAATGCGCCTGAGTGGCTGTTAAACAGCCGCCGCGCCCTCCCCAGAGGTGGCTGCACTGCAGTGCTGAGGCGCGTGGCCCCTGGGGCTGATGCTTTGTGCAAAGGGCTGTTTGTGTCACACGGGGGGGGGCCGGCAGACCAGGCAGCGAGGGGGCAGGTTCTGTGCCGAGTCCGTGGGTGGCCGAGAGCTGCGCGGTGATTCGGGCAGACCGGCCGGTTGTGCTGCTGCTTGGAGCCTGTTAGACTGAGCGGCGCCCGCAGCGAGGCCAGCCCCCGGGAACGGAGGGCACGGTCCAGCCCCCAGGCCATGACGCTGCCTGTTCGGACCAGCCCAGCCCTCGGGGCCACCGGCTGGTCCTGGGGAGCGGGTGGGTCCTGCGCTGTGTCCCCCCGGCTCTGCCAGCTGCCCTCGGGGCGGGGGCTCTGGTGCAGGGGGTGGTCTGACTCTGTGGTGAACCCGGGTCAGGGAGGGGAGAGGACTGGGCGTGCTCTCAGATGGGCCAGGGGGTCTGGTGCCGTGTCCTGCCCAGGGAGTCCACTCCCATAATGCACCTGGTTGAGGTGGGGGGGGCGTTCCTTCCTCCTCTGTGACCAGGTAGCAGGGTCAGCGGGTGGTGGGAGCACCCCCCCCCCCCCCAATCATCCCGCCAACACTGCCCCTTGTCGCCCGCAGGCTACGTCCGCAACACGAGCAGCGTCTCGCCGCGGGGCTACGTGCCCAGCTCCACCCCGCAGCAAAGCGGCTACAACACCATCACATCCAGCATGACCGGCTACGGGGGGGCAGCCATGACCGGCCTCGGGGTGCCCGGCTCCCCCAGCTTCCTCAACGGCTCCACCGCCAACTCCCCCTACGCCAGTGAGTCGCAGAGGGGCCCAGGCGGGCACTGCCACCCTGTGCAGGGGGCACCTCCTGCCGTGCATCCATAGAGGGCTGCATGGGGGGCTCCCTGGGCAAGGGTGACTCCACCAGCGCCCCTTACCCCCCCCCGGCTCCGCCCCCGGAGAGTGCAGACGGGCACTGGACCCCCAGGTTGTTCTGTAACCCCATTGGAATGGCTCCCTTCTAGGGGGGGTCCCACGTCTCCAGGGCCCCTTGCCCGATACAGCCCTGCCCCACAGCATCACGGAGCCCCCAGCCCTGCCCCCTGCTGTGCACATGCTCTCAGGGTCTTCCTCGCATGCCGCCACCATGTATCCTGTGCTGGGTGGGGCAGGGTGTGCCCCCCATGACCCCCAGCATTGGGTGGGGCAGGGTGTGTCCCCCCCCTTGGAGCTTCTGGTGCTGGGTGGGGCAGGGGGCACCCCCCAGAGTCCCCTGCCCTGCCCCCCCAGACCACGTCCTGAACCCGACTGCTCCCCAGGCCCCTGCCAGCCTGTCTGTCTCCTCTGCCCGCTGCAGTCATGCCCTCCAGCCCCCCGCTGGGCGCCTCCTCCATCACCCTCCCGTCCGGCGCCAGCTCCTCCACCCCCGCCGGCGTCTTCTCCTTCTCCCCGGTCAACATGATCTCCGCCGTCAAGCAGAAGAGCGCCTTCGCCCCCGTGGTGCGGCCGCCCACCTCCCCCACCCCCACCTGCACCAGCACCAACGGGAACAGCCTGCAGGGTGAGTCGGCTGCATCCGTGGGCAGCGGGGGCCCGACAGGGCCTTGGCCTGGATTCCCACAGGGGGCTGGGATACCAACGCCCTGGATGGGTGGGCACAGCTAGAAATTCACCGGGGGGCCGCCCCGCCTGCCAACGTGCCGAGCTCCTCTCCCTCCCACTCTGCTCCCAGCCCTGGAGCCAAGCAGGGAGCCAGGCCAGGCCTGGGTCCATCTCTCCCCCTCGCTTTTTGCCTGTGATTTTTTTGGAAGCATCGAAGTCATTCCCCCTCTCCCGCCCTGCGGCAGCCAGTCCCGCAGGTTAACAGTGGACCGCTCCTGCCTGCTCTAGCATGCATTCCCTTCGGCTCACATGACGTTCCCGCTGCTCCTGCCTTGGGGCACCTCCTCGCAAGCCCCGGCACCTTCTCTGGACCAAGGTGTGAGGCCTAACTCTGGCCAGAGATGGGGTGGAGCAGACCCCGCTATGGCTGGGGGGGGGCCCCGCAGGGTCCCGGCGGGGGGGGGCCCCGCA